AATATATGTAAATGCACACAAGTCGTATGGAACTTGCTAGTGTTACAAAAATTATGCTCATTAGAGAACTCTTTTTCACATAAATTCACCTGAAGGTTTGTTGCAGGATAAGCAATGCTCTCTTTTTGTCAATCAACACTTTAATATCAATAAACTTCATTCTTCATTCATAGATTGTGAGCTACTTTGAAACTGAATTATAACATTTGTACTCAAGTCAAAATTGAACAAACCATACCAAACCCAACCAAACTGACATGTAATGGTACATCAGAAAATTATTTTAAAAAACTAACTTAAAATAAAATAATTATTTTTTGTTTAAATTAAAAAGTCACTAGTACAAAACAGGACAGCCCAAACAGTTGGAACCGTTTGGGAAAACATGGTCCCAAACGGTTACAACCGTTTGGGAAAAAAAACTATTTGGGCTAAAGCCGTTGGGGAAAACTCTACCCTAACGGTTGCCGAAACGGTTATAACCATTTGGGAAAAATCCTAAATAGTTATAACCGTTTAGGATATTGTCCAAACGGTTGTAACCGTTTAGGATTTTAAAAAGTGCCAAACGGTTGAAACCATTTGTCCAACTTTTTGCCCCAATGGGTTTAACCGTTTGGCCAATTTTAAGCCCAAACGGTTCTAACATTTGGAAAGATATCTGTCCAAATGGTTAGAATCATTTGGGCTAAAAATTGGCCAAACGGCTAAACCCATTTAGATTGTGTAGTGTCCAAGCAGTTTCAATCGTTTGGGCTATTTATTTTAATATTTTTTAAAATTTTAACTACTTTATTTATCTACCTATTTATATTTAACGTACACATCTCACACAATAATTACTCAATATCTCATAATGAAAGTGAAAAAATATACATACACAAAAATGTCTCAAATGGTGCTAAATATCCAATATTATATATACATACACAATGATTCCTCAATATACAATATTAGAGACAGAATATATACATACACAATGATTAATCAATATCTCACAATAAAAAGCATCTAATATTATATATTTGTCTCTAATATCCAAAATATCTCAAATGTCCAAAATAAGATTAGGAGTGGCCTAATCAATCCAGTCAAGGAGCAGAAGCAATTCCTCGAAGAATGTCCTCCTAGGACAAACTCGAACACCTCAAGTCTGCAAATATTCTAACAAGATTCTCCTATAATAAACCTTGAGCACTGGAAGTAGAAGTGTTAGTAGCCGAAGCTGGACGAGCAGAATATGGTATATCAGCAGCGAGCTGAGGAATGAGAGCAGGACGAGTAAAAGATGGTGGATCATTAGGAGAGGGAGCAGGACAAGCACCCTAAGGATTAACCTATAAAGTAATAGCAATATATGAGTGTATACATGTCTGAGTGTTAAGTCTATGCATATGTTTATGTGTGTATAAGTATTAGATGTATGTATATTTGTGTATGCTAGTGTACATGTGTATGCGAGAGTGTGTATATTAGTATATGTACCATATTGTTATTAATCCAATGCATCTGAGGCCTAAGCTCCTCCCTGAGATTGTCCATCTCAGCTACCCGAGCTCTAAGGATGTCAACCTCAGTGTTTGTGGAAAATTTGATGTAAAAGAAATAAAAGAAAAATTAATTTGTATTCTCTCAAAATCGATTACAATTTGGATTCCGATTACAAAAGAGAGGAGAATGAATTTGATTCTCCCATTTGTTTAAAACTGGGCTCTTCTTGGTAGCGATGGAGTGCCTCCTTTGATTGCTTGCGTCGAATTCGCTCTCCCTTGACGATCTGACCGTCCTTTTACCTCGTGGGAACGATGAACTTCTGTGGAAAGTTTGATGAATAACTCTTAACAAGTTTAAGAACTCCGAACGAGTTAGCACTATGTGGATAGAGTTGTTAGAACCGAAAATTCGGTTAATGACCAAGCAGATCTTCTGTTGTTGAAGAATCCTCTTAGATTTGATCTTCTGAATTTGATTCAAATCTTCTATCTCCAAGGAATTCGCCTCTATTGCCTCTCTGCTTCCGATTCTCCGTTCCAAAAAGCCAGCCCTTGACTCAGTTGAGTTTGTTGAAATTTTATAGGTGGATAAGAGGTTATAACTGCCCTCTAAATCCGCTCCTACGTGGGCGTGATTTCCTCAGATCGTGGGGAAAACAGTTCTGAAACCGTTCGACTCATGTTTGAACGAGTCAAACGTCCAATCCGGCGTTCAGAACCCTAACTTCGCTTCTTGGAATTGAGACGCGAGGTTGGGTGTTGACTGAACGTCAAGAACGCGAGGGTCGCTCGCGTTTTGCTTGTTGCAGCTTGGAAACGCGAGTGTCGCCTGCATTTCCAGAATTGTAATGCGGGGATGAATTCCGCGTTTTAGAAGGGGTTAGTTGATTTGTAACCTCTTCTACAGAGCATTGCAAGGACCGTTATTCAGTAATCCTAGCTTTAGCTATTGTGGGGTGTGAAAGTCGTCAGATTGTAACTTTCACTGTAGATTGTGAAGACTGCTGAATAGAGTTTTCATCAGTTATCGGAAGTGTCGTTGATTTATAACTCTTCTCGCTCTATGTGAAAAGTCCTCCATTTGCAGCTTTCGTTTGTTGGCATGAAAACTATCTGATCGTAGCTTTTCATTGTTGGAGCTTGATGGGGATCAGCTATCTATTGTGACTTTTAGACAGTCTACACGAATATTTGCCCACAGCTCTCTACCAAGCAACTCACCAACCAAGTTCAACCTTTTATTTCTGAAATCATTATACTGCTCATCAGCACCTCTAATAGTTGCTAATATAATATTAGTCATGTTGTTGTCACAGCCATCAAGATCAATCATCTCAAATATGAGGCTGTGTTTGCAGCAATTGTAGAGTTGCGGATGCAGTGATTTGGAAATTACTTGTGTTTCGATTGTAAGGACGAATTCTTCTTCTTGGTCCATAGGGAAATCTTTTGGTTGCAGCTTTCCCTTCGGTAACAAGAAAGTCATCTGATTGTAACTTCCATTGTTAGGGCTTGATGGGGATCAGCTATCCATTGTGATTTTTAGACAGCCTACAGAACCCCCTCCAATGTTTTTGAAAGTTTGCGGTTGACTGGGACGAATTTTCGGAATACTTTGGATCCTAAAATTTAGTGTATTGATTGTTCACTCCGTCTGATTTGAAGACGTCACAAACCTGGTTGTTGTAATGTTGAAATTATGTTACCCCAAACCAAACAACATAACCTTTGAGTCTTGATGATAATGAACTTAATCAAACAAACCAAATCCCAAGTCATCATCAAACTCATCGACAGGCTCGTCCTTCTTCTCTACTTCCTTAAAGGTAGGAGCAGCAGCATTCTTAGCAGATACAACAGGAACAACAACAACAGCAAGGACGTTCTTGTAGGTATTGACGAACATGTGATGCGCAGCTACAAGAGTTGGGTAAGAGAGAGTCAAGGACAGCGAAGCGACCATAGAAACACCAGCTACAAACTTGTCAATGAGGCCATCCTTCGTGAGGTTGAGCACTTCTGGGCTTAAGACAGATCCATTGTCATAGACAGAGAGAATCATAAACCCATATGAGAATGTCTTCATCCTAAGTTTAGTCAGGAGGGCAGCCTCAGAGGAACCCACTTTATCTCCTTTCTCGATCAGCTCAACTAGGGTGATGATTTCAGCGATATCATCATTACTCTTTGTTGGGATGTTAAGCCACTTAGAAGAATGAGTGGCGCGTCGGATCGAGCTAGATGATTTCAATGTTGTTGATTGTAATCTATCTGTACTCCTCCAATAGACTCCCCACCGGAGTCGTCTGTTTCTTCTCGGCTTTGGTCACCTTGATGATCGCTGTTAGCTCTTCTTTTATTTATCTGGGGCTGTGTCGTAGCCTTGGTAGTGGAGATGCTGTTATTGTAGCGGTCCAAATGCATAGATGGATTCTACATGATTGGAACGCGTGGGTGAATTCCGCATGTTTGAGAATTTGAACGCGTGGGTGAGCCTCACGTTTGGAAGTTCAACCAACTTGAACGCTGAGATCGAGTTTGGACGAGATTCTAGCCTAGAATCCCGTCCCGATTTGACAGCTCATAGCTGTCTATAAATAGACGGCTAAGGGTCAAATCAAGAGTCATTTGACTCTTCTTGAAACTTTAACGAAAACTTTCGTTCTCATCTCCGGCGATAGCGATTCTCCTCCTCCTTCGACTTAGATCCATAGCACCCAAGAAGAAGACTGTCCCTCATCCCTCCAAGTCCGACGTCGTCGTGGCTCAGGGGTCGGCTCCATCTGCATCTGCGTCGGCCTGTGGCGCTGCGGCTCAGGCGGGCATGCCGCCCCAACTTCCTTTGATCGGTGGTGAGTACGACCTCCGTGGTCATTAAACTCGCTGCGGCAAGTTTTGATCTTTGGATCAACGAGGAAACTCATTTCAATAACGCGGGGCTGGACTCCGTCGTTTAGTATTTTCGATGAGGGGTTCGACCTCCGCGTCTTAGATTTTTGACGTGAGGTTCGACCTACGCGTCTAAAATTTTTCAATGCGAGGCTCGAACTCCTCGTCTGAGATTTTTGACGCGAGATTCGACCTACGCGTCTGAGATTTTCAACGCGAGGTTCGACCTCCGCGTCTAAGATTTGCCTTTGCGTTGTCTAACCTTTTTCTTTGTTTTGCAGTGCGTCAAACAAGCGAGCCTATCCCTTTTCACCATCATTTTGGGCACGCGGGTGGTGTAGATCTGAATATGACATTCAACCTGCACCAAGAACTCCCAGTTTTCTGAATTACGGAGAAGAGCCGTGTGGAACTAATCACCAAGGCTTCTCCTGAAACTCTTAGGATATTGGTTACGGATGCTCGACTTGAGAACCTGAGCCGTAAACCGATAGTCAAACCTTCCTCTTTGGGGATTTTGTTGACTTCGAGGCAGGTGTTGCTTAAGATGGGGACTACAAGTGGCTGCAGAAAGTTGGAGACCACAATATTTTCTTGCCTAATATGGAGAGGATGTTCCCCATATCCTACTTTCAGTGCGCTTCCATCCCCAGGCACATGGATTGGAACCTTGTTAAGGATCAGGATGGAGTTATTCTCGTAACCCTGACTTTTCAAGGGGTCTGCACAGTTGGTTACAACAGACAGGTGACGGCCTTACGGCCAGGCCTGTTCGCTAAGGAGTACCCTGTCGGCAAAGTGGCCAGTCCGGCGAATACCTTTGTCAAGAAGTTTATGGCAAAAAAAGGAGAATTTCCCACGCAAGGATTTAGAACTCCTGGCTGGGTTCATTCTCCGGTGATAGGGTGGTGGACCCGGATGACCAAGTTTGTTTTGAAGGAATTGGAAGTACCTCTTACTCGAGCTGGCTTGAAGATTCCGGTACGGGCTACTAAATTCGGGATCGTCCAGAGCCATTTTCATTTCTTCTCCATATTAGAGAAGTATAATCCCGAGACTTGTACTTTCTTCACTCTAGTGGGGGAGTTAGGCTTCTCTCTTCATGAGATGCACGAAGTCTCAGGTCTTCTTCTTGGGGATTTACCATATGAAGAATTTGTTCCGGGATCAGCGGAACTTAAAATTTTAAAGAAGACCAGTCCTGAAATTTATTCCACCCTCTGGGAAGTCATGTGTCACTTCCATATTTGCATGCAGCAGACATGGGCTCGAGGAAGCGGCATCAAACAGGTATCTTGGGCGGAGTATTTATTCCAGAGCCTGACCAATAAAGGAGCTTCAGTGACCAGATTGTCTGCAAGCACTCTAGAGGAGGTTCAAGCCCGAATTGATGATGCTACCCCCCATTACACTAACGAGGCCAAGGAAGATGTTTTCCCGGCTTATACAGAGTTTGAAAGCTTCCACTATCAAGCTCTGATTCCAATTTCTAACACGGCGTTGTTGGCTGGATTCTTGATGCTGTGGCTCAAGCGTTACGTCGTTCCTACCGGGCCAATTGATGCTCTTGCTGTTGAGGTGATCTACCCGGCTGTTCTTTTGGCGCATGGGAGGCCGTTGAATCTGCTTTACGCCATGGTAGGTTGCTTGTAGAATAGGCTGCGTGAATTGGCCGTGGATTTTACTGATGTTATAGTAGTGGAGTCTGGGGGTAACAAGATTTTCAAAACTCCCAATCCCAGGGTGCCATTGCCTTATACTTATCTGATGGCTTGGTATGTGCTCCACTGTCCTCCCTTAATGAGTGCAGCTTCTCCCCCAGAAGACTCGTTCATCCCATTCGTGCAACGACTAGAATCTACAAAATGGGAGGGAGGTTATATGGTTAGAATTCGTCAGATCTTGTCGCGAGACACCCATTATCATATCTTCCGTTGTTTCCCTGGTTTCGAAGGCGGCGTCTATGGAGCAGAGTATCAGGACGTAGCGGGTCCTAACGGATTCACCCAGCTGAGCGGGGGTGTTTTCCATTGGCTTCTCTCTATCAGGCCAGGCTACCTGATCTTTAGGCAAGGTGATAAGTGTTTCCTCGAACCCTACCAACCCTATAGGTTTGCCCACCAATTTGGGTATGATCAGTTATACGTTGGGAACCCTTGACCTCAGCTCTCAATTGTGAGCAACTTATATGAAGGGGCCAGGGCTTGGTACTATTCTGTGGCAGGTTGTACCAGAGCAATCTTTAGGCTTCCCCACAAAACACCCAATTCCTACACTTCTATAAGCTTCTGCAATTGGTATTTTCCCGCTTCCCAGACTCCTAATTACAACTTGAATACATCTTGCCTGAAAGACATCAGGCATATGTACGCTTTAAGGAGGGGGTCTAAAACGTCTCGCCTGAGAGGAATCGACGAATTTCTATCCATTGAGGCCAGAAGAGGAACAAGAAGCTGAACCTGCTCCAGTGGAGGAACCCCGGGTGGTATATTCTCCCACAACAAGGGTAGCTGGGAAAATAAAACTTTCGGCAGATGAAACTGGTCAATATGATAAGCAGACTCGTCGAAAACTGATGGTTGGGTCTCCTCCCCCAAAAGGCCAGCAGAAACCAAAGTTGATGGCTGACGCTATCAAAGCTGCTGAAGATGAAGAACAACATGAATCTTCAGTTGCAGGCCTGCCACATAGAACTGGGCTCCGTTCTCATGGCCCGGCCTTATCAAGTGAAGCTTCTTCTCACCACATAGAACTGGGCTCCGTTCTCATGGCCCGGCCTTATCAAGTGAAGCTTCTTCTCACCATCCCTCCGATGATGAAGAGAATGAATTGATGGCCACAGATGCCTTATCAAGTGAAGCTTCTTCTCACCATCCCTCCGATGATGAAGAGAATGAATTGATGGCCACAGATGTAGAATCTGCTCCGGTAGCAGACCCTCCTAGGGCTCCAGTGTTAGAATCCCAGGGCCATGAAGAGAATCCATCCCCTCCTCCTTCAGCACTAATGTCACAAGCTGGCGGTTTAAGTCCTAGTCCGACAATGGGACTTATGACTAAACCAACTGTTAGCACAAATCTTCCTGAATCTTCAGCTATACGGGATGATGAGGAGCGAGTAGATTATGAAGGCTCCTCGATTGGTGATGCAGCTGACGAAGATAGAGATGATGAGGATGCTGACGTTGGCAACAAGCCATGTGATGATGCGGAGGATGAAGAGCATGATTCTATGGATGACATCACCACTTTGGATGATGCTCCTAAGGCCCCATCTGATAAAGCATCTGGTTATACTCCTTTTTATCTCACCGGTAAGCCGGGTTTGTTTCAAATTCTTCCACATGCTTTTTTCACGTTCCGACCTTTTTTTCGTGCAGGTTCACCTCCTCCCAGGACTACCACTGCTACTCCTCCTACAGAACAACAGATCACGCATGTGTCAACTCCTTTACAAGAGCAGCATTTGCCTGGCTCATCCATGGCGGCTGTTTCACCGGCAACATTGCCCGGGGCTATTACTGTGACTCCTCCTCCGGAACAGCCTTGAATGTTTCAACTGCTTCTGTAGCTTCAGCGCCCGGATCCCCTGCACCAGTTTCAATGGCTAGGGGAGTATCCCCAAGCGTTACTTCAAGTCTCACGGGTGCACCTGAGTTCCTTCAAATTTCTTTGGTATATTTGAATAGCCTCGCGAAGAAGGTGATCGAATATGTGGTGAGTGGTCAGAGAACTTTTAATTCCTTCCGACCTCTTCTGGAGGCAGGCTTAAACGGAGTCAGGAGTGTGGGAAACACTCCATGGTTCGAGCGCTGTTCGGAGATTATTCTTCTTTTGGAAGAACAGTTACAACATTTTGAAGCCTTAGGTCACAGAGAGCTTCAGCCACAAATTATGTCTACTTTGGCTGGTCTTCAGGTTGCAGAAGTGGCTCGCCGGGAGGCGATAGAGCAGGATTTGGCTAAAAGAGAGTGTCATATCAGGGAGCTTCGCGAGCGTAATATTCGGAAGCAAGAGGAGTTAGAACTCTCGACCGCTTCTATGAACTCGCTTCGTAACAGACTTGTTGAAGCTGAGGCTGAAGTCCTGCGATTAAAGGCTGAACTTTCCCGTGAAGAAAATGTTGTCAATATCCTTAGCACCCAAAACACAACTGGCACTTCGGAATATCACACGTAGGCTCGAGCCTTGGAACATGCCAGGAATGAAGCGGCGGCTATCATCATACCAAGTGAGGAAGAACTCCGGGCAAAGGCTGAAGCCATGGTGCGAGCCACTCACGAGGAGGAGTTAACTGAAGTTAGGACCCAACTCACTTCTTTTGATTTGATGCGCGAGTGAATTTTGCATTTGTAATGTTCCTTTAACAAGAACAAGTTTGTCTTGTATCACTTTCTTTTGGCTCTTGAATAAAAAGTGATATTGATTTCTCATTGTTTCTTGCACTTATCATGTTTTGATTTTAAGTAAGAAATCACGAGAAATGCCCGAGACGTATTCCCGACTTAGAATAGATCTCCACAATAGTCCTGATGCAGAAAATTCTCTTTATTATTATTTAAGATAACTACAGAAAATTTCAAACCGCTATGGATTAATATTTTATTATTTTTCCATAATAGGGCTGACTAGTAGAATTCTTCCTGTGTTATATTTTTTTTGCTTTAAACACTAAAAGAAGTCTATAAGTGCCAGAGGTGTAGTTTTAACTTGGCAGGAGAAATATCGTGATCAGGGCGATTTTGAGGACTTATCGCTCTATTGACGAGAATTGATAAGTTGATTTTGTCAGAGGTGTAATTTTAACATAATGGGAGAAATATTATGATCAGGGCAATTTTGAGGACTTATCGCTCTATTGACGAGAATCGATAAGTTAATTTTGTCAGAGGTATAATTTTAACGTGACATGAGAAATATTACGATCAGGACAATTTTGAGGACTTATCGTTCTATTGATGAGAATCGATAAGTTAATTTTATCATAGGTGTAATTTTAACGTGACAGGAGAAATATTACGATCAGGGCAATTTTGAGGACTTATCGCTCTATTGACGAGAATCGATAAATTGATTTTGTCAGAGGTGTAATTTTAACGTGACAGAAGAAATATTTTTTTTGTGTCTCGCTGGGGAGAATTGCTAAGTGTTTTATCATCAGAGCGATGAATTGTGATACTTGTGATTTGAACAAGATTTTGGGGAATTTTATTACCCCTATTGAAAACTGGTTATTTATTACTCTGCTGAGGAGAGCTAATAAATTGACAGTGATCTGAATGATTTTGGAGACTTATCGTTCTATTAATGAGAATCGATAAGCGGATTCTAACAGAGGAGTTATAGCCGTGCTGGTATTGATGCCATCTAAACTTAAACTCTGTGGGGTTGATGACTGTCTGGGGTGTGATATTAACCTGATGGATATTTAAATTCAACTGAGGAGATACATAGGTTTAGTAGTACTCCATTAAAAGAATTTATGAACTTATAGCATAAGTGTCATGTTTGAGAGCCCAAGGATATATTCTTCATTTGGGAGAATTGTAATGCGAAGGTGACCTTCGCGTTTGAGGTTTCGAAACGCGAGGTTAAAGGCCTTCATAATATAGGCTTAGGCTTTGCATTTGAGAATTTGAACGCGGTTGTGAACTTCGTGTTTCGAAGATGGTTGGGATTCACTCCTAGAATCCCGTGCCATCTTAACAGGTTGACGGCTGTTATAAATAGACCTGAGTGGTCACGTTAAGGGTCACTTGACTCGTTTTATTTTCGGCTATTTCCCAGAACGAGAACTCTCGTTTGATTTCGGCGAGATCTCTGACGAACTCCGTCTCCCTCGTTCAACGGCACTTCCTCCGATCGATTGTATCGATGGCGCCTTAGAGAGTGGGTTCTAGCTCCAAGAAAGTCGCTGGAGCGACTTCCAAAATGCCGTCGGCTGAGGACGCCGGTGGTGTTCTTGTTCCCGTGGGAACGTTACGTTCACCGTCGCCATCGCAGGGGCCTCCCTGTCGTGGTAAGTGTTGACCGAAATAACTTGCCTTGGCAAGTTCTCTGAAAACCCTAGATGGGTTCTTGATAACGAGGAAGATGACTCATTTCTGATCAATGAAAACGCGGAGTTGGGATTCCATGTGGGTCTCGACCCTCGCATTTAAATTTTTCAACACGAGGTTCGACTCTCGCGTTTGAGATTCTTGACACGAGGTTCAACTCCCGCGTTTAAGAATTCTGATGTGAGGCTCAACTCTTTGTATTTCAGAATCTGTATTTATGTAAGTAGTTTATTTTCAGCTACTAATCTCTGCTTTTGATTGTGCAGTGCTCCTTCCAAACGTGCCGCTTTCACAAGAGCATCATTTTGGATATATTGGAGGTCCTGACGCGAATGAAGTCTTCAGTCTTCAGAGCAGAATTCCACTATGTACTTTCCTTGACTCGGAGAGAGCGGACATGATTAAATTTCCCCGATGCTCTACTCTCGGGATTTTAATCACTGACTTGGACATGGAGACCCCTATCGGTCATGCTCAGTTTCCCAAACCAGCATTCATATTCGGGGATCGTATAGCAATTGATGACCATCTCATACATGTGGAGGACTCAAAGCTACTGCGAAGAGTCGATAACTGTTTCCTCTTCATCCCAAGCATGAAGCGGATGTATCCGCTCTCCTACTTCTTGAATGTGAGCTGTCGCCGGGGTTTGACTTTTGACATACACTAGTAAAAATTCACGTATTCTAGACGGAATATTCTAGATGGAAATTTTTCCGTCTAGAATGTATTAAACTAGACGAAAAATTTCCGTCTAGAATATTCCGTCTAGAATAAAATATTCTAGACGGAAATTTCCGTCTAGAATAGTATTCTAGACGGAAATTTTATTTTTAAATTTTTTTAAAAAAAATCCTGGTATCCTAGACGGAAATTTCCGTCTAGAATGTATTCTAGACGGAAATTTCCGTCTAGGATACTTTCCCATTTAAAAAAAGAAATTAAACCCTCAAAACCCAGCCGCCCCTTTACCCCCAAAATTTCGCCGCCCCAATTTCCCCCCAAAATCGAAAATTTCATGAAAATCCATCAAACCCCTCCTTTCCCCAAACCCCAACCCCAACCTCCTCCTCTTGTCCCGTTCCCTCTCCTCCCTGAGCCCGTCCCAAAACCCTAGCAGCCTTAGCGGTCCCCCTCCCTCGACCTCCGCCGGGTTCAGCACCGACCGCCTCCCTCCGACGACCAGCTCTTCCTCTTCCGACGACTCTTCTGGCTCTTTTTCGAGGTTTTCTCCCCCTTGTCGCCTGATCGCTGAGATTCCTCCTCCATTTGAGGAGGAGGAGGAGGACAAGAAGGAGTCGGGGAGCGCAAATTTTAGAGCGAGAGCCTTTTGGAGCCTGGAATTCGAAGGTAGGGTTTTGTTTAGTTTCTCTGGTTTTAGATCTAGCGATGGATGGATGTTTGATTTTGATCGTAATTCATGTGCAGTGAAATCTTAACTAGTTCAGTTCACATGACGGAGCCTCGAGGATTGGTTTCGCCTTCGATTTCGTCTTCGACTTCTCGATCTCGGTAAAACCTACTTGTTCATGGAGCTGATATGAATGATAATTACTTGTATCTAACTTTTTCTTTTTTTTTTGCATTAATTTTGGATGCTTTGTATTAAGAAATTCTGGTAGTTTGAAAGTATTTAGGAATCACGGCATTTTGGGTTCTGTTCGACTGCAAAGAATGGTATATTTATTGATGTATTCTGATTTGATTTCTTATGTTTCTTTAAATATTTGGTGGTCCTTGATATTACCATATCATTAGGATGCAATTGAGAATGGATGCAACTCTATTTAGCTCTGTTTTTGAACTGTTGCTAAGCTTTTTTTTAATTTGGATAAATACATCATCAAGAGATAGAATATATAATGGTTAATTGTATACAGATTGCCGGTTTATGTCACTTGTTATTTCATTTGTACTCAAGGCGTAAGCAGTAGTAAAATGGGAATTCTAATTTGTGTTTGTTTCAATGTATGCTAGAAACTAGAGGGGATTTTTTTTCCATGTCAACAAAATCTATACCAGAAGTCCTACTTATTTTTTTCCCCGGAGATTATGGAGAGATAAAAAAACGTTATTGTTTGTCCGAATTTATCACCAAGAAATCCCTCACGTTATGAGCTCAGCTTTTAACACGTCCATTATATTCCTGTATACACAAGTAGACATATAACCAGATTTGAGTCTGATTGTAGATTGAGATTATTAGGTAGAAGTTCGGAAAGGTTTTTTAAGAAGATGAGAATCCTTCCACTTTAATTCGGGCACGGTGCCGATCTTGCAAGTTAATGTGATTTGGGGAGATGAGAGGTATAATTATTGTTTGCCATTTTCTGTTGCTATTTTTTGGAGAGCAGTTGGATTTTTTTTCCCTCCCCGATAGGCGAACTAGTTTCGTTCAAAGAGTGTTTTTTATTTCAATGAAAATAAAGTTTTCCTTTGGGAAGGGATTTTATGTTTTCCTATCTCGGAGCTGTAGTTAATGATGAATCTTAGGCTCGTTTGTTTCTTCGTTTGTTTTGTTGGAGCATGCTCTTGTTTGGGGCTAATTCATTCATCTAGCCTTTGAATTCTTGATTTTCTAGCTTTTGAAATATTTTCTTATTAACCTACTTTAAGATAGATTGTCCATTTTTATGGGCATTCCATCTAAATGTTATTTTTGAAATTTAAGATGGAACAGAGTTCCCAGTTGTTTTCCTATATCGGAGCTGTAATTAATGATGAATTTTAGGCTCGTTTGTTTCTTCGTTTGTTTTGTTGGAGCGTGTTTCTGTTTGGGGCTAATTCATTCATCTAGCCTTTCTTGATTTTCTAGCTTTTGAAAAATTTTCTGATTAACATACTTTAAGATAGATTGTCCATTTTTATGGGTGCTTCATCTAATTGTTGCAAGCATAAATCTTTAAACATTACTGTATCTGAATCATGTTTGGATATTTATCATAAAATATGTGCAATGTCTTTTTAGGAGAAGTCTGAGACATATATGCCTATTGAGCCAACAATCTATGCCACCTCTAAAATGCCGATGCAACCTGTGATTCTGCCTAATCGTTTTTGATGTTTTAGTGTTTGCTTTTCCTACCTGCTCACTGGCATCTTTGGTTTTAATATTAAGTCCCTGTCTTGCCATCGTTGTCTCAGTTCTAAAAATTAGGCACCTAGGCTGAATTGTCCCTATATTTGGTGGAATGAGGGATTGATTAGGTCAACTTATTTTGAGAATGTTTTACCTAAAACGATTGCAGTTATTGTATAGCATTACCAATTTTAGTATAAATGACATTCTTATTAAAAATATGGGCTCTAGGACCTTTTCAAAAGTCAATAATATGGAGGATGTCATTGGTTCTATCATCACGATCGTCTTGTTGTAACTCTTGTTTGTGTAATTCTTGAGATAAATAACAACAATAGATTTCTTTAACGTCTTCGTACTAAAGTTTTGGAATGGATAAACTGTTGGAACTTGGAACTCATAATTTTCCCGTTCTTATCTGCAGCTTAACAAGGAAGGAGTTCTACTTCTTCGAGGTGGACTCCAGGCTCTCAAAGGACCTCCCTCTGGATCTGCAGAAGCTCAGATGCAAGGTAATACCCATCTTCCATATGAAGTTCCTTGATTTGAAATCACTTATCCAGCCATGACAATTGGGAACTTGAGTTCTAATTAAAAAGTTACTGATTTTTTTTATCAGTTGCTTTCCTTTTTGATATTTCTAGAGTAAGAGTTCAGCCTGGGAAATGAAGGGAAAGTAACACGTCTTCCAGAATAGATTTGAAAGTTAGCTATGACATTTACAATATTTTTATTCCTAGTTAGACAGTAGTGTTTATTCGTAATTGTATTTTAATTATCAACAACGTGTTTATTGCGTGCTCTCATTGAAAATGAGTAGTAGGAAATGTTTTATGTTCTTTCTTCCAATAATTTTTTTTTCTGACCAATCTGACCATGGTATTTTATTCGCTATCTCCTTGCTGTCAATAGGTCCTTTTGATTTCTATAGAAGTGCCAGTCTCATAGGAAGTACCAGTCTGACCAATCTGACCATGGTACTTTCTTTTTTTAAATGATTATTCAAGTTTTTGGGTCAGTGATTATACTGGTTTTCATGATTTCAGGCTACTCATATTAGCGTCGGGGTTGATGTTTGTATGAGTTATGAGAGGAGACTCTACTTCAGTCTCCCAAGAGTGCAGCATGTTCTTCATGCCAACAGAACAAAATTGCCTTATAGGATGTCAATGTGCAGTCAGCGAGTATTCCTATTTCTTGAATTCATATGACCTTATCCATCATTTTTTATAACTATTGTGCGTAATGTTGTGCGATGGAGCATACAGAACCTCTGGTAAATAATTTATGTAAAAGTTTGTAAACAATTTATGTATCTCTTTACTATTTTGGTGAATGTATTATTTGAATATAATGGGAGTTGATATTGGAATATAATTAGATTCTGTTGGATATGAATATAATTTTTTGTTGTTCAATATAATGTTCATGCATCCAAAGCAAAAAAAAAAAACACTGTAGCATAGTATCCTAGACGGAAATTCCGTCTAGGATGCTAAAATTCCGTCTAGGATACCTTTTTTAAAATAAAAAAATAAAAAAATTTTAAAAAATCAATTTTCGTCTAGAATAATTATTCTAGACGGAAATTTCCGTCTAGAATACTTATTCTAGATGGAATTTTTTTCCGTCTAGGATGAATTATTCTAGACGAAAATTCCGTCTAGAATAATCCGTCTAGGATGTATTATAGACGGTTTTTGATTCCGTCTAGAATATTTCGTCTAGGATGTATTCTAGACGAAATTTCCGTCTAGAATATTACATCCTAGACGGAAACATACTAGACTCGTATTCTAGACGGAATTCCGTCTAGGATAAGTATCCTAGACGGAATTCTGGGTATCCTAGACGGAATTTTCCGTCTAGGATGCCCCATTATTTAGCAGTGATAGTCAAGGAAAAAGAGAATGTGTCACTTGGATTTGGTTGGTGAGCTTGTACACAAATTGGGGGACAACTCAAGGGGTTGAGACCCGGTTTATTTGAGAAAAAGGGTCTCGTTCAGGAGACGCCACGTCCAACGAACATCTTTATTCGCCAATTCATTGTAACTCAGGGTGAATTCTCTACCCAGATGTTTAGATCTCCAGGACGGGTTTGTTCTGGAGAAGGAGGTTAGTGGACCCGTATGGTTGACTTCGTTCTTGAGGAGCTTAAGGAACCACTCGCTCAATCGGGTCTCACAGTTCCTGTGTTAGCTACTCAACGGGGGGTCATGCAGAGTTATCACAATTTCTTCGCTATGTTGCAGAAATATAACCCGGATAGCTGTACATTCTTCACACCTAGAGGGGAGTTAGGTTTTGCTCTCCATGAGATGCAAGCAGTATCGGGATTGCCGTTTGGTGGAATTCCCTACGAGGAATTCATCCCTACCACAGAGGAGCTTTCCATGTTAAGGGCGACGCATCCAAAAGTTTATGCTACTTTCTGGGAGTTGATGTGCCACTTCCATATATGCGCTCAAGTCTTTGGGATGCGTGGAGGGGGCATTATGCATACCGCATGGGCGGAATACCTCTTTCAAAACTTTGACCGAAAAGACGTAGTTGTATCTCGCTGTAGGCTGTCTAAAAATCACAATGGATAGCTGATCCCTAACAAGCCCCGACGATGGAAGTTACAATCAGACGACTTTCTAATTACTGCATCTGCAACTCTGCAACCGCTATAAACATGGCCTCATCTCTGAGATGATTGATCTTGATGGCTGCGACAACAACATGACTAATATTATATTAGTAACTATTAGAGATGCTGATGAGCAGTGTAATGATTTCAGAAATAAAAGGTTGGACTTAGTTGGTGAGTTGCTTGGTAGAGAGCTGTGGGCAAATATTCGTCTAAAAATCACTATGGATGATTGATTCCCGTCAAGTTCCAACAATGAAAGCTACAATCAAATAGCTTTCATGCCAACAAACAAAAAGCTGCAAATGGAGGACTTTTCACATAGATCGAGAAGAGTTACAATCCAACGACGTTTCCGACAGCTAATGAAAACTCTATTCAATAGTCTCCATAATCTACAGTGAAAGTTATAATCTGACGACTTTCACACCCCACAACAGCTAAAGCTAGGATTACTGAACAACGGTCCTTGCAACGCTCTATAGAAGAAGTTACAGATCAACTAACCCCTTCTAAAACGCGGAAGTCATCCCCGCGTCATAATTTTGGAAATGCAGGCGACGCCCGCATTTCCAAGCTATAACAAGCCAAACGCGTGCGACCCTCGCGTTCTGGAGGTTCAACCAATACCGACCCCCGCGTTCCTAAGTGGCAACAAGCCAAAACGCGAGCAACCCTCGCGTTCATTGATGGTAAGCCAACACCTAACCTCGCGTCTCAATTCTAAGAGGCGACGTTGGGTTCTGAACGCCAGATTGGGCATTTGACTAGTTCAAATACGAGTCGAACGGTTTCAGAACTGTTTCCCCACGATCTGAGGAAATCACGTCCACTTAGGAGCGGATTTAGAGGGTAGTTACAACCTTTTATCCACCTAAAAAAGCTCAACAAACTCAACTGAGTTAAGGGCTGGCTTTTTGGAACGGAGAGACAGCAGGTTGGATTTTGAGCATCTAAACCGCACGGGTTTGGAGCTTCTCCAGGATCTCAACTGCACAGGGAGGTAGGAGAGACAAAATCCTTAGAGATAGGATTTTTGAATTGAGTTCAGAAGATCAAATCTGAAAGGATTCTTCAACAACAGAATATCTGCTTGGTCATTAACCGAATCTTCGGTTCTAACAACTCTATTCACAGAGTTCTAACTCGTTAAGAGTTCTTAAACTCGTTAAAGAGTTACCCATAAAACTTTCCACAGAAGTTCGTTAAAGAGTTACCCATAAAACTTTCCACAGAAGTTAATCGTTCCCACGAGATAAAAGACGGTCGGATCGTTAACGGAGAGCAAATTCGACGCGAACAATCGAAGGAGGCACTCCATCGCTACTGAGAAGAACCCAATTTTAAACAATGGGGAGAACCAAATTCGTTCTCTTCTCTTTTGTAATCAAATTGTAACCGGAATTGAAGAAATACAAGTCAATTTTATTTTGTTCTCTTCATTGCAATTTTTCCAATGTATAAAAGATGGCGACTCTGCTGGGGACTAGCTTTTCCGATGAAGAAGTGGTGGAGCAGTCCGACGTCCACCTCATGGGAACGACTATAGAAACTCTCGTTGTGGAGTTTGATCAAGCAAAATATGAGGAAGCCTTATCCTCTGGATCGCTTAGCCCCAAGGCTAAGCGTGATGTCTGCAAGATCTCCAAGGAGATCAGTTCTATTGTTGAAACGCCGAAGAAAGCCCTCTCCTTCGGCCAGGAACTTAAACTAGCTTTGCTGGTTGAAGAGCCCACATCCGCGTCAGCACGACGTGCTTCAGGCCATAAACGGCCTATAGAGGAGACGAGCTCCATGAACGTCAACGACGCTGCTGCTAAGGCTTTGAAACAAGCTAAGAAGAACGCCACTCGCAGACAGAGAAGATCCATACGACGAGCACACCTACGTGAAAGCCGAATGTTGGCCCAACGCGAAGGTCGCGTTTCTAAAATTTTACCCGAGCATAGCGTTCCCAAAACAGAACGTTCGCTTCGTGGCAATGAGCCCGACTACGAGCCTCGGCTGATACAGCTGAAACGTGACCCTGAATGGCGCGTTGTTCCCTCAAAACGCAGCCCTCAGAAGGAAGCTGCCAAAACTAAACGCGACCCTCAGGTGCGCGTTCAAACAGAACATGACTCTCAAGAGTCTGTTTCACCAACCAAACGCGACCCTCAGGGGCGCGTTCAACCAAAACATGACCCTCAGAGGTCTGTTTCATCATTTAAACGTAGGCCTCGGCCTAATGTTTATAAATCTAAACGCGACCCTCGCGTTATTCTTCAAGAAAGCGACCCTAGCGCTGTTCTTCAAGAACGCGATCTTCAAGAGGTCCGCCAGGTTCAGAAAAGTCAGCGTGGTTTCAAAATCCACGTTCGACAAGAACCAATTTCACCCACCCAAGGGCAGGGGGTTCCATCTCCGCCTCCACACCCGGGGAAAGTTTTCTGCCAAGTTCCTGATTTGCGGGAATTATTGTCAAGAGGAAAACCAACAGTAAAAGCAGCTCACTCATGCCAATGTGAGAGGCTTATATCGGCAATCCTGTCAGAATGCCATTGTTGCGCATCCACACCTCGGCAGTCTGTGTTCGACAGGTTGACGAACGTTGTTAGGCCTGCCAAACGACAACGCCGATACAGAAAAAAGACAGCTGAAGCAGAATACCCTCAGGTCACTATCAATATGATTGGTCGAGGGAAAACCTCACATACCGATTCCGATGAGTCATAAAAAAGTCATTCCCCGACTGTTCGGGAAATTTGTGATGAATTCGAAGGAGTATACCAGCGTACTCGGACTCAGACAGGAGCTATCCATCTGTTTAATTATCAAAGATTGGCCAAGGGGATCGTTTCTGACGATGAACATTCGGCAATTGCCGAATCTCAATCTTCAAGTTCTGTTGTCGCACGTGAAGTTTCTGCTTACACGACAGGGAACCATGAAGACTTAACTAAGAGAGTTGACGAACATCACGTCATGCTCCAAGCGCAATAGGAGACACTTCTCCAATTAAAGGATATGTTGGCCCAGCTCCTCGCTGAAAAAGGCCAAAAACCCGAGTCTTCCCGGAGGACTATGTCAAAGGGAAAGCAGAAGACGCACGAACATTCGGATCGCAAGACTCACAACCTAGAATCTTCTTCCGAAAATGAGAAGGAGATGGAAAAAGAGCTGCATCCCCAGTCCGCTAAAGTGGATGAACTGGAGGCTCGCCTCAATGCAATCGCCAACAGAAGCGAGCTCCGTGAAGAAGGAGTAGTGCGGCCTTACCTTGCTGAGTGGGATACGGCTCCCTACCCACCAAAGTTTAAGGCCCCTACCTTGCAACCGTTCGATGCCACAGGATCACCAAATCAGCACATTTACTACTTTAAATCCTAAACTGGAGATGTGGTAGCGAACGACGCCATTCTGACCCGGCTATTCATCGAAACCCTCAAGGGTGTCGCTTTCGAATGGTTTATGAAACTGCCTGCCGGATCTATCCATAAATGGGTAGACCTGGAAAGGCTATTCTTGGCCAGGTTCTTCAAAGACGACACAGAGGTCTCAGTCCTGACTCTTCTCGCCACTAAGCAGAAGAAAGGATAATCTATCAAGACCTATGTGGAGAGATTCTGCAGCATGGCGTTGCGATGCCCTTCAGGTATGACCCAATCAACTTTGGTTGAAACTTACAGGCACAACTTGCAGACTCAGCTCATTGCTCAGATGGGAGTAGCAGAATGTCGC